GCTTGTATATTTAGGTCTTTGAGTTATTTTTATATTATGTGAGTTAAGGACCCAAGGTCATTATTTTGCATGTGGATATCCAGTTGTCCCAGAAACACTGGTTAAAAAGGGTAGCCTTTGTGCATTGAATGTTTATGGCAACCATCTTGAAAATAAATTAGGTATAAATATAAGAGTTATTGATTCTCAATTCTATTCAATAGGTCTTTATATCTTTAGTACACATTACTTTGGTTACTGCAGCTTTGTGGAAAGTTTTAAAATCTAGAAATAGAAATACTCAACCTTTCTTGTTTTATTTTTGTTTTTTCTTTCAAGATTGTTTTAGCTATTTAGATTGCCTTGCAATTCCCTATGAATTTGAGGATTAGCTTTGTCATTTCTGCAAAGAAGATCATTGGAATTTTGATAGAAGTTGCATGGACTCTGTAGTTCACTCTGAGTAGTAATAAAATCTTAACAATAGCAAGTCTTTCAATCCTTGGATACAGGATGCCATTCCATTTTTTAAGGTCAACTTTAATTTCATTCAGTAACTTTTTTTTCAGTTTTCAGACTGAAAAGGGAGTTCTGTCTTCCTGGAATTTAAAATCTGTTTTCCTCACACTCTTCTCTTACTGCTGGCCAGGGTAAATCAACAACTGTATGTACCCGTTGAAGAAGTGAATATCCATTCGTTAAGCTGGGTGTAGAGTTGAGAGTAAAGGAGTCAAGGAGAGCCGCTATAATCTACTTTGAGGATGTGATTTAGTGGGGCTTCTCATATAGGGGAGCCTCATTGTTGACCATTTTACTGCCTCTGTCCTTCTCCAACGCTCTCATTTCGGGAAGTGGGTATGTGCATATAGAAGACTTTGGTCCTTGTCAGGTCAACGCTGATTTACAGGCGATACCGCCTGGAACTACCATTAAAAAAAAGAGAGAGAGAGAAGTAAGCTTAGTGAGAGTAGCTCCTATATGAGAGCACCAGTAAGGAAACACTTTTGCATTAATTCGCTCCTCTTAATTCAACGCTTCTTTCTCTATAACAGGATCCCGCACTTGTCTGTTCCAGGACCAGAAACAACCAGGGTACACAGAGGAAGAGGTGGGGCCATACAAAGCCAGATATCACTCCGTCTCCTTTAAATGTCCAGAACCGTCTACTACATTCCAGCTGCTTAGCTTCAGATTTTGGTGTTGGGACGTGGCAAACCGAAGGAGGAAAAGGTAGATGTTGATTAGTCCCTATGTGAGGGTACCTGAGGTGCCCTTGGGGCAGAAAGAAGGGAATACCAATTATTTATTAATTACAGACCTTAGTCTGATGAAGCAGCTTTCTCCCCCTATCCCCTAGGTGCCGAGCCTCCCCCACCCCCACCCCCCAAACACTCTCGTCACCGTTGTCTCCTGTAGTTCTGTCTATTTGACTGTCTGGCCCTCATTCTGTAGGGCATGGCACCCCTTTGAGGCAAGGAAATCAGAAAACTACCTCTGATTCAAGCAGAGCAGGTCAGTATGAAAACGGGCATCTCCAGGTGTGGATTCGGATTACGGAAATGAACGCCGTAATGAGAGGGGGGCGAGCGATTGAGTTAACAGAATGACGCACAACGAGAAATTAAGAATGGTCTACTTCTTGCTTTCTTTATTTCCAAACATTCACCCCACCTTCGACCATGTTTTCCTTCCACTAGGGAAAGAGTGGCGGCTTCTAGCTTCTAGAAATGATGGATTCTATAATGAAGGGGATTGTCGATATTGATATTGAGTGTTGGGAAGCCCTACAGGGAGAGGCTATAAAACGAGGTTATAAATATTTTATAATCAAGACCCTGTATTCGAAAAGGGTCTCACGTTCTGGTTCCTCATTTGACTAGTTACAGTCTCTTCTCACTCCGTTTTCGGTGGGTCTTTGCTCGTGAATGCACGCATTTATGTGTGTAGGGTCTGTTCCTAAATCAATCTGTTGTAACTCATATTTCAGTAATGATCTGTAGGGGGCAGCAGACCTCAATGTATTGGGGGAAGAAAACTCAGTTTTTGTTCCTTGGGCAATGTTTGGGGACCCCTTGAGGGATGGAGGTGGTAGAGGGAGGTAACAAGAGCCTAGGGGGTTAGGAAAAAAAATAAAACAATACAAAAAACAAATCTCCTGCCATCGAATTGGTTCCAACATGTTGCGATACTATATAGGATTTCTGAGACCATATGACTGCAGTGCACCCAACCCACACCAACCAAAGTTGTGGTTATCAGCCCAATGCCTAATACACAGCTCCATCTAGGGGGTCTAGAGGAACCCCTAACTCTTCATTTTTCAAATATGCCCTTCCCTTATGGCCACTATGCTGCAGGAAATGGTAAAATGGAAGGGAGAGGAAACCTAGAAACCTAGATGAAATTTGGAAATAGTGCTTTTCACTGTTTACCCTGTCTAATTCTATCTCTCCTAACTTTACCATAACCTTGAGAGAAAAGGATGCTTGAGTTTGTATATCTTTCTCCCTTAGAGTGATTCGTGGATTGGAACCACTGGCCTTGTCTGTGAGGGTAGTAAAGAAGGTAGAAAATGATAGACCTCTATTCAGAGAGACTCCGTGTCCTAGATGCCAGGCTCTCGACCATGGACTCACTGTATTCTGTGTCTCCAATTATGTACCTTTATGTGTGTAAACCTTTTTTTCTGGGCTTTTTGGAACACTCGTTGTTGTGAAGGTTTATAGATAACAACCTGGCTTGAAGCTGGGAAATAAAAAAGAGAACATTGTCCTATATCTGTTAGGGTAGGTGTGAGTGTAGAGGAACAGAAAGTGATTAAGATAAGGCAATTCTTTATCTTTCATTTTACCAACTTTCCAATAATCTTGTCGGGATCCCTCCTTATTTTAGATGGACATTTTGGTAAGCTTTTGGGTACAGAATGTTAAGACCTGCCTCCCTTATACCTCATATGCTTTATTGGCTCTCATGCTTCCCTCTAGCTCAATTCTTAGTTAGGGTAATCCTAAAGCTCTCCTTTAAAAAGGAATAGTGGGTGATAGGGAGGAGGAAGAGGAATTCTGAAGCTGGCCAAGCGTTATATGGGAAGACAATTTTTTTTATAATCATTTTATTAGGGGCTCATACAACTCATCACAATCCGTACATACATCATCTGTGTCCAGCACATTAGTACATATGTTGACTTCATCATTCTCACAACACCTGCTTTCCACTTGTGCCCTTGGTGTCATCTCCTCATTTCCCCCCTC